ATGCTAAGGTATTAGGTATTAGGGATAATTTGGATTAATCATGGAAATTAATCTGGTTTTGGGTTTTTAATTCTTATGTCTTGAATCTAAGCCAATAAATAGTTAAATCAATCAAAATCATATCGCATTCCTATCCTTCAAGGGCCCCGGCCAACTTAAAAGCTTATTTTGCATAGGTTGGGGACCAAAAGGTGTAATGCCATTTTTCTTTTATCTTATATGAAACCATTATATACCTTAAAATTTTGAAATTAAGTAACAAGTTGAAAAAAAATAAAAATAAATTAAAAATACATTTTCGTTTAATCAACTCCGAAATTAATAAGAGAATCGATAAATGCATTAACATCAAGAAAAGTATTAACAAACACAACATCTTCGATACTTTTCCACGAGCAGTTGATGTACATCAACCTCCATGAGATCAAAATTGTGAGCCACTCTTTTCTTTTCTGTATTAGGGCAAGTCTCTCCCTTGCAACCACCACCCATATCAATCATATTTAAAATGGGAATATAGAAACTAACAACAAGGAAAATGAAATTATACCAAATTTTCATTGATTGGTTCCATCATAAATGCAAAAACTTTGAAAGAAAAAAAAATGTCTAGATCCAATTAAAGTTCAAAGTCATACATCATAGACAAAAGATATTATAAATTTTTTGAGAAAAAGAGATTCAAACTTAAATCTTTGAATACAAGAATATAAATATCTATTATTAAACCAAATCAGATTTATAAATTTATCCGATTCTTTAAATGACAAAAATATAAAAATAATGATCATGAAATACTAATTTGGTATATATAATTCAAATGACAAAATGTAAACAATACCCAACATTTGCAATGCAATCATTATTTCTTCATCATTAGCATTCAAACCCATACTTCTTAACAACATCTATAAGTCCCATAACTAGCCAAAGAAACCCATCAAGAGAGTTGAAGGGCAGGCAATATCTCACTCAAATCCAATCCTCCAATATGAGTTTGCATGCTTTGTGATCACAAAGTGGAAAAGTACCACCATGGGCTTGCTTGCATTGCATTGCAGCAACCATTAATTCCATTTTGATAATCTGAATTTTCTACTCATTTTTTCCCCCTAATCCAAGACCCAATGGTTCAAATCTTAGAAGATTCCATGAGGTCACTCCTTTTGAAGGGGGCCTGATCATGGGACCTCATCATCTTATAAATACACGTGTGTTTTCCGGCCGTATCCATCAGCCAGCTTGTGCCAAATTGTCATCACGATCTTACTTAGAATTAAATAATACTATTATTACTATGTGCTTTGGAAACATGCCGTAACTCAATCCTTTCCCTTTATCTTGATTCTTGTTTGCTAGACAAAATTTGATAGTGATGTGTTTTTTCTTGAGAATCAAGTTAAGCATATGTATCTTTATTGAATTGTAACATCAAATTACATATATAAACAAATGTCAAATAGATTACAATCCATACAAAATTTTGTGGCAATTAAAATAACAAAATCATACCCTTTGTTTAAATAGATAGTTTGGAGACAGGTCGATTTTTAATTATTTTTTTATAAAGAAGAAAAAGTGAATCTTCGATTGGATTCAAATCCTTTTTTTTTTAAAAAAAAAAGCAATTTACCCTTAAATTTAAGTGACAGTAGGACATTTTGTTAATAAAAGTCTTTAATGTTAGGTAAGTAGAAGGTTTGGTCCAATCTTAATGATTAACAAGAAGTGACATATGTTAATCGTGTGTCAAAAAATTTAATCTTATCGGTAATTTCCAACAAAATTTTATTGAAAATACATTTTTGATAGAACTTTCATTAAAAAATTTTGTTTTTTTTTCAATAGAATTTATGGTATACAATTGATAATTTTATACCCTTTCCCTAATGAAATTTCTTTAACTTTTTGTAGTGGAATTTTTTGTCAGTAAAAGCAGGGCACTTTTAACAATGGAACTTCCAATAAAAATTTTCATCGAAAGAGGAAATTTTTAACTAAATTTAAATATTTTTCAACTAAAAATTTCATCAAAAAAAAATCTAATTTTTGGTAGTGTGCAAAACCCCAACTGAATGAATGTACACAAAACACCTCTCATATTCGACTCAATCTTGTATCTTAATTTTTCTTCTGTTTATTATTCAAGAAGGATTCTTTGTCAATTAACATATATAGCTTTAGCATATACATATATATGTATGTATATAAGAAATATGTTGAATTTGTTTTTGATAGGGGAGATAAAAGTTTTACACATTATCTTAGTAAATTTTTTAAACTTAATAAAAAGGAAAAAAATAAGGTTAAATTGAAACAATTTATTTAGAAATTATTGAATATTATTAAGCCAAAAAAATAAAAGAAAATTGTACTTGGGTTGATGCAACGGTTTACCAATAATTTAGATTGTACTAATTTTATTTAGCTTGTGGGGCGGGGCATCACGAGGATAAGACACATCCACGTGAAGGGATCGTGCATGGACTTGGGCCAGACTCTTGATAGCTTTGCTATTATTAAGTATGCAGTGATAGAGTTCTTTTTTTTTTCTTTTCCCTAGCAGTTGGGGTATAGTCTGCAGGAACAACTCTCCCTCCTTAATCCTTTCATTATTATTTATTAATGAATTCATGATCTTGTTCTAGATTTTTCCTTTTTGTAAATTAAATTTAGATAATGGGTTAATTTACATCAACTTGACTCAATTTATATATTTTCTAATAAAATTATATTCACATAACACATTTCAACGAATTTATTGTGAAGATGAAACTGATAAAATTTTGTATTAATGTCAAAGACAAGTGAAGAATACTTTGAAATTTTTATATCTCGAGTTCAAATTTTATTGGTACGAGTTTCATATGCTTACATCGTGTTAGACTTTTGTTTAACTATATATTGATTTATTGATTTGTTTGATTTATTAAATAAAATTGTAAAGTCTTAATTGTACGTACAATTATTTAATTAAAAAGTTGTAAAAAAGAATTATCATCCACATGATCAAATTGCTTTTTCTATTGGTGGGTCAAAGGCCTAAAATTGACAATAATTAATTAACAAATTTAATGAAACCGATATTAATACAGTTCAAAGTACTACTCTGATTTCTGACCACATGTGCAAGCCTTACATCATTTTGCCTTCTTTAATTTAGGGGCATATCCCAAAATTAAGTTTCCCTTTCTCTAGAAGTAACTCATGGTCTATCCATACGTGTCAAATTTATGCTCAAACTCAAACGATTGTTGAAACTAAAAAAAGAAACCAAGTATAAAAAATTTTATTTTGCATTAACAAAATTAATCCGATATATATTCATATTCATCTCACTCCGCTTAATCAAAGCCTAACATTCCCATTTTAAAAAAAATTGAACTTAAATTATGACAAAAACGTGTATCGAATGAGAAAGATTTCGGGCAACCCTGCGGTTTTGTAGTTCAAAGAATCTGAAGTGATGGTGAAAAAAGGGTGAGAAAATATTGATCGATGTTGATACGGAGAAATTTTTGTAATGATATATCGAGATAGGATGAGCGATAGTAGATTTAGACTAATGGCTTAACTGCCATCCTTGTAAACCTTAGTTATTCAATGCTAACTTTTGGTTAACTTTTACTTGTTGTGGAGTAATTTTTTGTGGATCATATGCTACTAGTTAGAGAATTTCCTTTCTCTACTAAGAAAAAGACTTGGGCACATCCAATTTATGTGGTTCTAGTACAAGAGAGCTGGTCCAAGCCTATTTAAAGTTTACAAAGTGATATGGATTCTTTCTTGAACCTTAAAAAAAAAATGAAGGAAGAAATAATTGTGTGGCCATAGCCAAGGGTTATGAAGCTGTCCTTCTATAAGACATTTTTTTTTCTCGAAGGGGTTTGGTCATGGCCCTTAAAGGCATGTGCCCCAAGAATGTTCACAAATCTGTGAACAAGGTATTTCCATGGTCTAGTCAACAGTCAAGGCATCAAGGGAAGAGCCCACCGCTTGGTTATTATAACGTTATGCAAAATACAAGTGTCTGGTTCGAGCCACTTGCTTCCTTTGTGCAAAAGTTCTCTTCGTCTCTTTTAAACTAAATATCTCTTAATCTAATGCCAGTAGGATGTATTCATTTTAGAAAGAAAGAAAGGAAAGTCTAGAACGCAATATTATGGGGTGAGAATATCTCTTATCGTACTATACCGTACGTTTAAATAGATTTTATTTTTTTTAATTAATTAGTACTTGTTAATGATGAATTGGAAAAAAAAGTTCAAAAAATTCACGCAATTAACTTTCATTTAAGACTTCAATCCAGACCTTTTTTTTTTGTTTAATTCAGATTTAATTTAACTATCATTACTTTTTAAATTCGATACCCTTAATCTCATCTTTAATCTTATAAAGGGAAGGAAATAGTATGTAGAAGAAAATAAAAGAGGAACAATTTACTCGTATAAAATTAAGGGATGAATGACTTCAATCAATGCTGTTTAAGTCTCTTCCAAATCTCTTTATGTGGACTAGACAGAAATTTTACTAATATTATACCGAAAAGAGATGAAATAAATTTTAAATTTATAAATAAAAATTATACCATTAAAAATATGAATTCAGAATAAAAGTATTTAATGAAAAAAATTTATAAAAACTAACTAACTGAACGAGAAGAAAAAGAGAAAACACCCATTGGGGTATTAAAAGAAAAGATTTTTTTTAAAAAAAGAAGTATTAATTGAAAAAGAAAAGAAAATTAATAAAAAAAGGGGGGGAAAAAAAATCAAACTCTTCTCCCCCCTAAATAAAAATCCCATTAACAAGACACGAGTCACTGGAGAGGAAAAAAACATGGTGCTCCCTCATGTCGGAAAGTATCTCTCTATTTTCATTCATGCGCGTGGGCTCCACACACCATCACTCTCTCTCACTCTCTCTCTCTCTCTCTAGCCTTTCCCTCCCTTCCCTCTTCCCTCTTCCCTCCCCTTGCTTAAATATCAACCTCCCGTAACTATTTTCGGTTGACGCCGATTTTTCTAACTTATCTTTTCCTCTATTCCCCCTCTCAGTTCTCCCTCTCTCTTGCTTACTCGCGCGTTCTATTCAGTTCTCTCTCTCTCTTTGGATTGACGGGACAAAAAGCTTTCAAAAACTAGGCGTCCCTTCCCAACACTAGAACGCGCCCCTCAGAAACAAACCCTAGCGCTCTCTCTCTTTCTCTCTCTCTCCGTCTCTGCTCCTTTTTTGTTCTTTATTTCTTCTCTCTCCGCGTTTCTTTTAGATTCTGTTTGGATGCTTTGAATCCTTGATTTTCTATTTCTTCTCTTTTTTTTTTATTCTTTCGTTCGCTGAAGCTTTTGAAGGATGGAGAATAAAGAAGGGGCCGATCCACGGAATGAGTTTACGTCCGATTCGAGCTGGACACTGCCTGGGCCTGACCCGGTCTCCGACAGCGTCAATTACTTCTTCGATAGGGAAAGCAGTATACTGAGTGAGTTCGGGTGGAATCTACAACCGGACCAGGCTGAAGAGATTGAGCGGTTCGGTGAACTTGACCGTACCGAAACCAGGCCTGATTTGGCGGGAAACTTTAGCGGCTCACAGAGCTCTGGTGCAGGTGCAGCTGCTGCTGGTTCAGGTTCGGGGACGGCGTCGAATCCGAGCGGGTCAGCTGACGTGTCGACATCGAATCCGTCGGTGTCGTCGAGCTCCAGCGAAGATCCGCCGGAGAAATCTACGGGCTCCGGCGGGAAACCGCCCGAGATACCGTGAGTAGTAGTGAACACACATCACCAATGATGAAATTTTTTTAAGAAAAAAGTCATGAAAAAAATGCCTTTTTTTTCCTTTAATTTTTATGATATTTTGAGGGACTGAATCGTAATTCAAGTACAATTTCGGTGGGTAAAGTGACAGATTATAATAAAGCTTACCGTATCAAAAGTCATGCTTAAATAGAGAGCCTTCCCCTCCGTAAGGAAGGAAAAGGGGGAGAGAGATAGGGTGCAATTTTCGGTGTCCGTACGCTCTGAAACTGTCAAAATGAAAACAACTTTGCTTCATGCAAGTTGGGGGGGCGGGTTAAGGTAGTTTTGTAATTTTAGAGAAACAATAGGTGCAATTAAGGTAATATAGGGTTAAAAGATATAAAAAGTGGCCTTCAACACCGCCGTTATTGCGGCGGAAATGGCGTGCTTTGAGGAATCTTTTTTTTTTTTACTACTTCCCTTGCTCCTTTCCGTTCTTATTTTTACGTTTTAATTACGTTAACACAAAGGCATAAGGCGAGAATATTGCCCGGAAAAGCCCCCTTTTGGTAACATAATCTAGGAAACATCTTCCATTTTTTTATGAAGTCTGTCTTTTGATCTAAATTCATTCCCTCAGATAAAGCAATACCATTCCCATTCACCAGAACCATAATAGGAGTTGCAATTTGCTCATGTTAGTGGGATTTTAGTGTCATTTCTGAGGTGGGTTTTCCATTGTTTAGGAGCTTGGGAGTGCACTTCATAGTCTTACTTTACTGGCTTTGGACATGCGTTATTCTTGGAAAAAAAACTAATAAAAGGCATTTAAATTCATGAAATGCTCTTTTGCAATAAATGGGCATTCAACATATCTCATAAAATAATGGATTTCAATATTGCGTATGTTCCCTGGAAGTTTTGGTTTCATATTCAGTAGCATCTACTTAGTTGGATTTCATCACCATCATTTATATGGTTGCAGTATATGAAGTACAATACTTGATTGTACTTCATGTACATTGAAGATATCTACTAAAGTAGTTGCAAGAATCACAATTCTCACTTTTGAATATCTTTGAGTGCATATACAATGAAATTTGCTTGACTACTTCCTGACATATTACTTATAGCAGCATCCTTTTTCTTTTATTTTAATTTCCAAAAAATTTACCACAGTTTGTTAATTTTGGTGACGTTTTACATATGCACTCTTCTGCTCTTTGTTTACTAGTATTACATATTTTAGAAAGATTTCCCTTCTTTGAGGAAAACAAATTATATATCCAAGTAATTGTCACCTAATACTTCTAGTTTCTTCTTTGGAACTGTCTTTAAGGCTTTCTGTTCTCTTTCCTTAAACCTGGTAGCAAATTGAAACATGCATTAACTTAATGATATATTCTTAATTTTTAGGATTTTGTTTTCCATTTTGATAATTGTAGGTGGGCTATTTTTGTAGGAGTAAGGTCAGGAAGAAGGGGCAAAAGCGAATCCGGCAGCCAAGATTTGCATTTGTGACCAAGAGTGAAGTTGATCATCTTGAAGATGGCTATCGGTGGCGGAAATATGGACAAAAAGCCGTTAAAAATAGTCCATTCCCTAGGTCTGTTGTCATTTCTAAATCAGAGAAAACTGACATGTTACCCACTTTGTGAATTGATTCAGTGCCTGGTTTCTGTTAAATAATTTAAAACTTTAAAGTGAAAAACATTGTACACCATATTCACTTTTCAATATTATAGTGAACTTTCCTTCCAGGAGTTTGTGTATGGGTTTCACCTTCTTTGCTAGGGGGAGATTCCATCAGTTTATATACTGAAGATACCCTAAATCAAATGGTTATACTAGAGTTAATGATACCTTTCTTCAACAAAAGTTGAATTTTGATTACATTAAACCGCTTACTTTTCTTAAGTTTGATGCTGTGACCATTCAATGCACGTTGACATGACTATATGATGGTTAGGACTTTATGGCAGATTAGCATTTTCTCTGAATGTTAGGTCCCCTCCCTTTTATTTGACTCTCTATTTTCTTAAACATTTACTCTTAATTTTCAGCTGCATCAATATTTTGCTTTTGTCATATTTTATGTGAGATTGAACCTATCCATGTATTATCTAATGTCATATTCATAAAGCACATAGTAATAGGAATTTACAAAGAAGGTTTTCTTTTTTTTAAAGAAAGGAGTGATCATGATGCTTAAAATCATTAATGGAAGGAAATTATTAAGAATGCTGTGAAAATTCTGACTCCACATATTTTACAGGAGCTACTATCGCTGCACAAATAGCAAATGCACAGTGAAGAAGAGAGTAGAACGTTCCTCTGAAGATCCCACCACTGTCATTACTACATATGAAGGTCAACACTGTCATCACAGTGTCGGATTCCCCCGTGGTGGACTCGTCAGCCATGAAGCTGCCTTTGCTGGTCAATTGACTCCTGCAGTCTCACAATTTTATTATCCAGGGGTACAGTTACATAGGGAAATTCCTCCAAGCATAACACAGTCACACCAAGTACCCATTGACGTAGGAGGATCTCGTGCGCTGCCAGAACCAACCCCTCAGCTTCCCACAGATGAAGGGTTACTTGGGGATATTGTGCCTCCTGGAATGCGTAACAGATGAGAAAGAAAGCATGGTATGCATATAGCTTCCTGAAACTAAATCGAATTTTTTAATTACTTTCATGCTGTCATATGCTGTAACTCCTTTTCACATTTAACCTGCATGAATTTCTTGTGTGTTTGTTCACTTCTCTGTGTGTGCTTCTTGAGTGTTGACTCTTGAGAGAGAGGGAGAGGGGTGTTGAGAGAGAGGACTGCACTATTTAAACTTTTTTTTTTTTTGGTTTTAACTCAAAACTATCAGTTAAGCAGGATGTTATGATCCAATGGTCAATTATGAAAGACGTGAGGCAGATGCACCTTTTTCTCTTCAGGCAAGTGGCTGCATATGAATAGGTTAAGCAGTAAGCATTTTACTAGTTTCGTTATCAGCTTAGTTATTGATCAATAATTCAACCTCTCCCATGAGTCCATGACAGGACTAGACCTTCTTAGCTACTAGCTAGCCGACCACTGTGGATAATACTTGACATCAAACCCCACAAGCAAGAGATATAAACGCTCTTTTGTTGACCAGTCCTAATCTATCTTGGAACAATAAAATGTATCGGAACGCTAATATATGATATATAGGACTTTTTTTTTTTTTGAAAGGTATTTATATATATAGGACTGAATGCGACCTGAATGTTGATGGATATACTGATATGTATTAGTGATATGGTAGGCCAGAGTCTTGTGATTCGTATACGTGTTTCCTAGCAGCAATCCATCATGACTAACGTCAGGTGCATTAGTTTTTGTTGGCTACTATTACTTCAGATTCAGTGCTTGTGGACTGCCTTATCTCTTGATGCTGCCCCCTTTATTATGCTTATCAGGGAGTTGGAAATTCCTTTCTAGACATGGGCTTGATAGACTGCAACTTTAGAACTAGTGAAAATACTTTTAATAACCAGTAGAATCTTCTGGATTGACGTTTTAGATGTTCTCTTTAGTAAAGTTATACCAAAGTTGAGCCTAAAGGGTTACCAGTAAAGTACATTTTAAAAACCTTTAATGTTACCTAATTAACCATATGCACCAGCAAGAGATTTGGAAGTTGGTTTTTTTATAGTTAAGTTGAAGAAGATCAGGTGTTAATTGTGTTTGAGTGTGAAATTGGTTTCCAGTACTTTAGTTTTGGTGTCTTCAGATGTTTGTTTATGGGATCTAAATCTAATTTTAAATATTGCTTGATTTTGGGTGTTTCTGGATTGCACCGATACTGTAGTTATATATATGCCTGATCTGGAAAGGTAAGGGTTTCTTTTATATAGCATCATCGTCAACATGATTATGCCAACCGATTATTACAGGAGGAAATAGAGCTTTCGGTTTATAGAACATGTGGGAATAAAAACCACATGCCTGTTTATCAGCAAAAAGAAAAGCAAAAAGTCTTTGTTCAACACTTGTGGGGTTATGGAAATGATGAAGTAAAGCATAAAAAAGTTAGTAGTAACAAAATGATAACTTTTCTTTGGCATGTCAAGAGATAGAATCTAGTTGAGATGTTAGCCTTATGTAAACTATCAGGCCCCTGTCGGTTTGGAACAAAGCATAAATAAAAGAGGACAGAATCCAATTATACTGAAATATGCCATAGCTAGTGTTTATGGGTTTTTTGCTGTTTATTTTTTTTTTCTGTTTTTTCTTTTGTTTATGTTCATCTTCTTTAGAAAATATTAGTAACGCTTTCTCTCAGTGTGTACAGGCCAGGCAATGCTTGGTTCTAAGGACCATCTCCGGGATATCAGAAGAGCCAAAGCCAAGGGCAATTTTTTCCAAGAAGTGAGTTCGTTACCTGAAAACACAATCCTTAAGAGACCCATTTAGGAGATGTACATGCGATGGGAGGAGCACACCCTCTCTCACTGCACCACATCGCCCCTCCCAAACGTCTCTCCTTAAATATCAATATTATACTTACATGAATCAGGTATTGATGCTCACATGAGTTCATTCTCTCTCATGAACATATTTATCTAACCCGATGCCTTCAATTCTAATCAATATCATCAAATATCGTTCTCCATGCATGTGAAGATATTGAAATTCCCTATTTTTAGGTTTCAAGGAGAGTTTAGAGCCGCTATAGTTTCCCCTACTGGTCCACTCTCTCTCTCATAGACTAGAACCCAAACTAGTACTTGCCACTTTCCCTTATTATTTTTTACATATATATAAAAGAAAAAAAATGTGAAAAGAACCGGATCTTGGATCTGTTCTGCTGCTTTCCTTTTTTCTCCTTTTTGTGATGTGGGTGGTCACTCTTTAGGCTAGCTAGCTCTTCATGGTTCGTACGTGACTGAGAACTGTCAGGAATCGACAATACCAATAGGAAAAAAAAGAAAGAAACAAAGAAAAAGGAGCTGTAAATTGGGCCACTTGTTTTTTATGGCTCAGTTGCGTGGTTTTCAATGTTGCTTCAGAGTTAGGCAGTCAGCCGACATTGCCTTTATTTATTTTTAATCCCCCCTCCTCACTTTCTCACCACCTCGTCTTTTCTTTAACCCCTTCTCTTTAGGGTTACGTTACGACTCCATGGGCAACTTTTTTTTTTTTAATGGGACGTGAGCTTCTTTGTCTTTACCATATGCCCATAGTGGGATTAACGATTAATTCTTGGATTTTATTAGTTTCATGGATTCATCAAGGAATATGACAGTACCGTTAGCCCCATGTTCGAGGTAACGATCATCCAAGGTATACTCTCCCTGTCATGTCTATCCCACCCACTAAACTCCAACAGCTAAAAACATTTTTTACTCAGTACCTATTGGTAGTTGCTAGAATACGAAGAATGCCCTCTGGTCATGCTCAAAAGAAAAACTTAAAATCCATGAAAATACTGTTTAATATATAAGTAAAATCTTCAAGGGTTAGATAGGAAAGACAGACTTAATTCATTTCTTTGTACCCTATAATAAATTACTCCCTTTTTTTTCTATATATATATATATATATACATAAAAAGCATTCTTTAACTATTGCCAACTAGACACCTGCAATTTAAGAGTGTTTGGTCCAAAGGATCTTTTTAATATTTCCTGTAATGTGAATTATAAAATTATATTATAATTTTTGATAAATAAAAAAATCAAGGTAATATAATATTATATTGTCATCTCATTATATTTAATAAAAATAATATTTTTTTATATTAACATGTAAGCGTTGAGATACATAGCAAGAGATAACTCTTTATTTAAAAAAAATAAAAAAAGATATACATAATTTTCTCACTTTGAATAGAATAATTATATGCAAATAATTAAAACAAAAATTATCTGATTAGAGAACCACTAAGATATCTCGAACTTCTCCCAAATGGTTTAAACTCTCATAAATCATAATCATGTTTAAGCAAAATATCAATCCAACGTTGATGTAATTATCAATGGATGAGTATATCCTTGAAGATTATTATTGAGGGAGATGTAGATGCATAGGAAAGTTGAGTAGTGAAGGGCTCCTAATGATTATGTACTTACGTACCTTATTTCAAACAAATAATTGAAGTTCCTTTTATTATTATTATTGTTATTATTATTTTCCCGAAATGGTGAAATCTTGTTTACGGAAAGGAAAATGAAGCAGTCGTTGTCGAGAATTCAATGCGCGCGCGTGAAGGTAATTATTCCCCATCCTTTTTAACATGTGTTGTAGTTTTCGGACCCTTATCCGACCCGTCTTCACCGTACACGTGTCACGTCGTATTTCCCACGTCCCCTCCCTTCTCCCCAGACTGATCATCGTACGGTAAATCGTTTGGCGGTGGCAGAAGAAGTGGCGCTTTATTCGGCGCTTTGTTCGGGGGTGGATCCCCGATCTTTTATTTCCTCGGCGATTCATTTGGTTTTTCTCTTTGCCGATTCCTCGGGGTGGCAGTTGGGCAGTTAGGTGAAGTTTGTTATGCGTCACTCGCACTTGTGAGACTTGCATGCGGTGGACTCTCCCCCCGCCCACTTGCTCTTTCCCAATTTTCATTGAATAATTATACTAACGATAAATTAATATAATTTATATCAAATTTTTTAATATCCACTATTTCACTCAGTTAGTAAATTTATCATAAAATATAAATAATTGACTTATAAAAAAAATTTATAATTTATGAACTGCCAGTATATAGTAATTATACACTATTACTTCATAAATGTGTAAAGTAAAAAAATTTAAAAATCTATAAAAAATATATTTAAAATTATGAGTATTTATTTTGTAGGTTTCTCGATTTTTAAATTTATTTATTAATCAAGTGGCAACATTAGTATTAGAATCATAGGCTAGATTTTGTATCAAAAGTTGCAAGTGGTGGTGTCTATTCCTCTTGGGCTCCTCTTCTTTTTTCTCCTTGTCAGGTAGGATAGTGCTTCATCCCTCAAATTGTACTTAGGGTTTTGGTCTTTGTATGGTGAAGAGTTTCTTCAACCATATCAAAACTTAAAAAGTGGAGCAACAGTGGCCCACAGCAAAAACGAAGCCCATGATGATCATCACCAATCATGCTGATTGATGATTAAGGGGGCTTGGATCTCTATGGTCCACAATCTGAACTATCAGTCAGTACCAAGGGGGCCCATTTCCCAAATCCTAAACCTTAGCCACTCATAACTCTTCCACATTTTGAAGGCAAAACCCCAAAAAGTAGTTCATTGCTCATTCTTGTGCTGTGCTACAACTTCTCAATTGTAGCTTCACAAAGCAAAAAACAAAAAAAAAAATAATACAGGTTACTAATTTTTTATTAAATTTTTAAATGTTATCTTATAAACATGTAGTAATCATATAAATCGACTCGTGGAGTTTCCGAAATTCCAACCCTCATTTCGGATAATATTTATATAATTATATCTAAAAAAACAAGTACATATATTAGATTCACAAATAAATTAAGATAAGATGAAATCAACTTAAATAATGATAGATAGCGAAGATAAATATCTTTGCTAGACTTCCTAGATAGAGATTAGAGATCAATCATTATCTAGATAGGACGCTGACATTATCATAATAATTTTTTTTCTTTAAGAGAATTATCAAATATAATTGAGGTTTATTTGCATATTATGTTGTATTTGATTATGTATCAAAAGAATTATTATATATTAGGATTTGATGAAATAACTACTAGACCTTATCACAACATGATTATTATAACTATAAATGGATATTCACGATAAATGTAGACAAATTAATAGTGATGGAAATTGACTGGATTTGTTAACGAGTACTCTAAGATCACTATAGGAAGTTAAAAAGACTAGTTTTATGAGATTATCGAGGGTGATTGTAATTCCTCACATGGTTTTCTTTCTTCGAATGTAAATTATTCACATTTATTTATATGCAAATCTTTCCTATCTATTCATGAATTGACAGATATTTGAGTTGAAAAACTCAAAATATACCTAAAACTAGGATTAGTTGAAAATTTAAGATACTCAAAACAAAATACATTTCTCTCTCTTTTATAATGGAAGATTGCTGATGGTTTAACCCTACCAAGCAAGTTTCTATTAAATTGGTAACGATCATTTGAGCTCGAATTTGGGATTTCGATCATTTCCCAATGGGCTAAAGCTATGATTGGATCATAACCCAGAACAAAGTGGAAGCTTCCTACAGAGACCCCAAAGTTTCAATGGCCTCAATCAGTTGCTGCGTGATTCAACAAGAGACCATCAAGGCCCATCACCCAGCTACAATAAGTAACACTATAAAGTGTTCAAGCAGACACAATCAAAGGGTTAAGAGAATATAATAAGCAACAAACAGAAGGGACATGGTGTGCTGGAATAAAGATGATAAAAATTCTACCACTCTGTCAAAATTCAGAGAGAGAAAAAGGAAGCACAAGAAGCACAAAAACAATGAGCTTTGGGGGGTTTGTTTTGTTTAATGGTAGTTGACAATGCAACCACCTTGGAGCCACATTTTCTTCTTGAATAACAAAAAAAGTTGCACTGCACCATCAGGCTTTGATTCCTCATAATTCCAAAAAAACTCATTATCTCCTAAATAAGTCTTCAAACTCAAGAGTAAGTCCAACCACCCCATATATTCCAAGGGGACCTTCTCAATAGCTCAACAAAGGAACATTTCCATTGCAACAAAGTGAAGTAAGCTGCCTACTTTACAGGTTTGGGGTTGACCTAAAATTCTTGAAGATTTATTCTATGGGAGAAGAACAATGTGATAAACAAGGCCTTTGAGCAAAATGTGAAATGTGGGTGGAGAACCTTTTTCTTCCCCTCCTTTCCTCTGTTGTAAAGAAAGAAAAGCATTAAAGAGTGTGTTCCAAAGAGAGTTGGGAACAAACAAAAGCAAATTTAACTGTACATAATGGATTGTCTTACAGATATAAATATGGGTGTGTGGAGTAATTGAATGTGAGTGTACAGTTCTTGGGCATGTAAAATTTTGAGAGGAAACTTCTCTTCCACTCCAGGAGAATGACACTTTATTTTTAATGTTTCCCCATAAAGCAGGTGGTCCTTGATTCTTTTAAAACTACACTTCAACAGTGAGATTGGGTTGTATCAAGGACAAACTATGATTGCCTATATCAAAAGATTTAAAGTGAAAAGTTTTTATCATGTAAGTTCAAAAACAGAAGCCACGGCTGGCCCTTTGAGTTTGCTTCCCAGAAGGAGCTATTTGACAGATTTGAAGTAAGGCAGAGCTGGAAAGCACCTTTTAACAAGGAAAATGGTGTACTCTAGATAGACAAAGAATTGAAAATTGTTGTAAGAATGAAAATAAAATCCAAGAACATATAGATGAATAAAAAAGAAACAACTTTTAAATGCAAGAGAACCTACCCTTCACGGTTCAAAAGCAGCAGATGGGGAAACATTTACCTTAGCAAAGGTCAACTTGAATCTGAGGCCAAGGGAAAACAGAAAATAGAAAATAAATTTACTTGTCTGTACACTCTTAAAAAATCTCTTGCATCATGATGAACCTATGCCCAAAAATTTTCATTCATTTAGCAAGAATCATGCTTGTGGTGCTTCCAATCTACCATGGCATGAACCCAGCATTCCCCATCGCATCTTCCTCAACAGGAGCAGGAAGGTTGAGATCAATTAGACCTGGCATCTCGGCTGTGTCTTGCTTGATCACAACTGTTCTGTCCTCAGAACCTCCAACAAAATGGGACCTCTTGTGACCTCCTAAAGCTTGGCCTGACTTGAAAACCCTGAAGCAGAATGGGCACTCATGTCCCTTGTTTTTCTTCGATCCCAATCTTTTCTCAGCATTGCCCGATGAACCACGAGGAGTACTTAGGCTTTTGTTATGATGGGAGGACTTGGTAACTTTGCTATCAGTCATCGGAACTGGAAAAGAATCATTTGCTAAGCTATCTTCACCGCTCTCATGTATCGACTCACTGCAGTCATTGACCTTGGTGTGGCTTGCTCTGTGTCCTCCAAGAGCCCTGTGGGAATCGAAGGTCTTGTTACAGGTCAAACACTCGTATTTGCTTCCCTTTGGAGAACTGTTGTACAAAAATTCAGGACTGTAATAATCTTTCTTGGCACTTCTTCTTAAATCATACTTAGTCAAAGCTCTATCTGCTTGATTGTCCCCTACTTCTCTGACCAAATCCTTCGGAAATTCTGTTTTCATACATTTGAAATTACTCAAACTCTTCCCAATTTTTGCATCAAAGTCTTCAAATCCAGATCCGGACTCCACCTTAAGTTTCTTAAATCCAACATTCCTGAGAAACCCATCGACAGAAACATCTGATTCCACCTTCTTGGGCCCATTCGTAAAATACCCAGAATCAGAATTCTCAGAAGAAGGACCAGAATCAGCAGATTTCAACTTGCAGTCTCTGGGCATTTTCATCTCCAAAAACTCACCACCGTTAGAAACACATTTCATGTCATTCTTAATAGTAATCTTCAGATCAATAGAGGATGATTTAGCCTCCAAAACGACAGAATTGTTATCTGAAGAGTCGGCAACTGAATTCAATCCTTTCTTACAACCAGAGTCCCTTGACAGCATCATCAAACACATCGCCACCTCTTCTTGTTCTTGCTCTATCTCTGATGCAGATGAAGAACCATTTGCCAAAGAAACTGAATTATTAGAGAAAACGCCAATTGTCTTGTACCTTATTCTTTTGGATCTCCTCCTCCTACTTGGAGCTGATGTTTCAGTATCTGACTGACTATCCATTACCAGCTTCTGTTTCTCACTATTACCTGAATGATCCTCAAACTTCTGAAAGACCCTATCTTTCTCTGAGTGACAAGCCATGTGACCACAAAGAGCTTTCAGTGATTGGAAACCCTTACCACATTCTTTACAAACCATCTCTTTGACTACAGAAGAGTTGCCTGAATCAGTAAACCTCTTGGTTTTCTTGGGGTTCTCCCGAAGGACATAACCAGATTGGGCACCAGCTTCAGGCTCAGCAGCTCTCTTGACATTCCTTCCGTTACTGCTGCAGAGAAGCTTGTTTATGGTGAGTTCAGCTGCTCCTTCCTCTGCTACAGCAGAATTCTCATTATTCATATGAGTCCTTATGTGACCACCTAAGGACTTCCCACACGGAAACCTCTTGTGGCAAAACTTGCAAACAAATTTCTTCTCTTGATTTTGTTCCATCAAAAATCAATGGAAGTCGATCACTGAAAAACAAAAAATACCCAGTAAAGCAAACAGGATCAGTAGCTCATTTCTTACCCCAAATCTTCAAAAATACTGCATTTTTAATGATCTTATTGCTGTGACCAGGAAGACACCTTGAATGGTGAAGAAGCAGAGAAACGAGAATCAAAATCCAGATCAAGAAGCGGAGAAAACAGATCAAAAAAGTTGCTTGCTTTTGTTTCAGTGGAGATGATCAGACGAGAATCAGGAGTTGAGATGTGACAGTTGTTTGTTTTAAGTACAACAAAGAGATCCGACCCACGAAAAGAAACTCTTTAAATCCCATTTTTTTTTTACCTCAACACCTTCCAATCTTTGCACAGAGATAAGAAAAGAAAATACTTTAATGGCTTTTGAAATGAAAAAAATCAAAACTTGAAGAAAATGGGTCGCTAATGATGGCGATGAACAGGCGTATGAGAAGAACAATCAAAGCAAAAACCATGACTCTTTCTCTCTCTCTCTCTCTCTCCCTATGTTTTTGTGTTGTAGTTGGAGGAGAATTCCATGCATGGAAGCAAAAGATTAAAAGGGGAAGAAAAGATAGGCAGCACGTGTACTCAAGTGAGAACCATTCGGTGATGGATTGGACGGTCAGGATTTCTGGGTATCTTTTCTATTTTTTTTTATTTGATGATCCCGACGAGTGAGGAGTACTAAATAAATTGATTACATAGCAACATAACCAAAACTGAAGCTGCTACTGCTGCAACATCCAAACTATGCCCTACTTTGTCTTGCTTGCAAGCTCACACAAATGAAAGGTCAGAATCTCCAACCGTTATTCGGCTTTCAGCTTCCTCCATTTGCCCCCACTAAAAGGGATCATTGTATATGCAAAAGATGTTACACTGTGGTTGGCCCAACCCTTCCATTTTCCTTTATTCTCTCTTCTCCATTCCCTTCTCTTCTTCTTTTTTTTTTTTTTTAATTTTCTTCCATTTTTTAAGCATTATTATATGTTGGGTATTCTATGTTTTTGCTACCTTTGACATTATAAAAAATTCCAAAAATTTTGAGGGGGGCATATCTTGGATTGAAAACATGGCTGTGCATCATAATATTGGAGAGGCATCAGACATTAAATCATGGCCATCACTATTGATTGGCTTGCATTATCTATAATGGCTAACTTAAGCCAAATGCCCAAAGACTGTAACCCATTCAAGAATAGGGATATCTTGCTAGAAAAAGGAAATTTTGATAGTAAAATGATTGCCCCAAGTTATGTACCCCATAAAGAAAATTGATAATCCAAAGTTTGGAGAGTAGTGGGAATGTTGTACTTTGAAACCATACTGTCCTCTGCTGTGCCATATCTCACCAAACTCTTAAAAAAAAACAAAAAAACCCAATGCAGTCCTCTTGAAAATGTCAGGCTGCATTTTCTCAGCCAGGCCCTAAATATAAAAAATAATAAAAAATAATAATAATAATAATAATTTACCATAACATATCCCATCCAAGATCAAGTCAAGGCCATCCCCCTCGTATTGATCTCTAATGTCATGTCACAATCCATATTCATCTTTTCTTTATTTAGTATTCTCGACCCCCTCCCCCGTGTCTGTCGTGCAATGCAACTTCCTTGACTAGGTTTCTACTTGTTTAAATTTATCATTGAGACGCTCACCCCCTGTCCCAACCATTGATTGCTCTGCCTAAGTTCCACAACAAGGCGTGGGAGTAATAGCCAAAGGTTTGATCATGCAAGTCTCATTTTAAACCACCCCTTCGACCCTTTTTAAAGGTGGCGAGAGAAATTAAAGAGAGAGAGAGGAGAATTTTGCCTTTTTCTTTTCCTTTTTACCAAGTTGTAGATTTCTTTCACATTGGATTATAATAATACTTGGGGTTGGATTCAAGGTGACAGAAGGGGCATTAGGTTCATTTTGTTTTTTTGGTTTTATTCTTTGGAGTGACTGATATGATCATATTGGGAGATGACAGAAATGGGTCAAAACCGAGTTAAAATTTTCACAGGTTTTGAAAGTCAAATACCCTCTTTGAAAGCTTGACTTTGGAGATAAGAAAGAGGATTCCACTGATAATGAGGCCAATGGAAAGTGTGGTCAGTTTGGAAGGCATGACTATGAATGTATTTGCTCGGTGCTGCTGATGAATGATTTCAGAAGACTAGGAAATGCCTAAATTCTAATTTTGTTGCTTTCCTAGTAATATCTTTTGACTGACTCAGTTTGACACCACCACTAACCCCATTTTGCACGCAATGGCAATGCATAGGGTTGAAAACCAAAACTCACCAGGTTTTTATTGGGCAAGCCTGGGTTTCTGTCTCTCTGTCTTCTGTCCCATGGGGATGGTATAAGTCAGCTGTCACCGAAGCCAGAGCTTGGAGCTTCCTTCTATGATGTCACTTATAAGTCAGCTGCTTTGGGGCTACATGTTAACCAGTCAGAATATGTAAAGGTTTAACAAGCTGCAGTGCCTAGTTAGAACCAGTTCAATACCCGTTCATGAACACAGCCAAGACTTGAAGATCACCACATTACAAGAACCATCCTCAACCTCTGTTTTCTTTTATAAAAAATAAGGTATAGAAGAATAAAACAGAACATGACAGCCTCTCATAAATGTATTGTTTGGTTAATAAATCTATACAAAAGCCAGGTATAAGCTATCAGCAGTATCTGTATACAAGTCAATGCCTTTCGATCTGAGTTACTCATCCACAGAAAGATTCAAACAATTTTCAGCCCCAAAATCCAAGAAAAGACGACCTTGGACCCCTAAAGAAGAGGCAAGAGTGTTGTACTGCCGTGCAATTTACAAAAGCAGAAAGATCCCATTAAGAGCACTTTTAACATGCTTAAGCAAAATACATTGGAAAAAATGGATTTACAGGGACAAAAGGGAAAAAAAATGAGGTCAAAAACCAAAATCTTAGCCCTCCGTCAGGGAGTGGTTCAGGACTTTCCGAAGAGACACTATCTGATGCTTATTCAATTCTCGTATTGTTGTCCCGACTATCTTGTCCAAAAATCTCTTCAATAATGTTGCATGTGGGCTGGAGATCAATACCTTTTGTTGGAGCAGTAGGATACCTGGTGTCCCAGATTTTCGCATCACAAGAATCAAATAAATACACATGGTGAGCCATATCACTAGACCCATCTAATTTACCCCGCAAACACTTGTCAGTCTTCACTCCATTAACATGTGAATTGGCCTTTGTGTCAATCACGCTAAGAGAGTCAACCATGTTTGGCTGAAACTCGAAAGACATGCATGAGTCATCTTGAACATTGAAATCCTCCCCTATTCCCGAAACCTTGTTTGTTTGTTGAAAACAGGGATCAAACTTGCTCTCATCAAATGACTTGGCAACATGTCCTTCTAACAAATGATTTACACCATAATCCCCTCTTGTCACAGCATAGCTACCATCTCCAACATCACTTTCATCATCATCATCTTGAAGACACTCCCGTTCACGATTTGCCAGTTCTTCCTGATCAGCAAGAGACTCGATAGCTGAGTCTTCATCTTCCTCTGAAGCTTGAACTTCATAAGCCTGTTGACTTCCATGCCATTCATCATCATCACTGTCAACGTCCAGAATACTGGATCTATTCTGAACAGCTCGTCTCTGTAGGATGAAGACATTGAAATAATAGCTGACAAGCTCCCTCTTGGATCGTGAAGGGAACACCACTGACAGGTCTCTCCAAAACTTTTTACCTAATGATGAAGGATTTGAGTAAACAACCTCACGAAATATCTCTTCATCTTCTTCACTCCATTTATATGCTACATCCTCTCCCATGTCATAAAACCCCAACCTCACAAATTTTTCATGCCCAAGGGATTTTCGTAGTCTTTCCCGTGCCTCCATGACATGCTGTTGCACACATCTCAAAGAGCCCCTATCCAGGCAGCTACAGTCAGTTCTGCCAGCACCAACTTTGCCACCATTGTTAGCAGACAAATATGACTCAGGCATTGGAATAACACATGCCCCCATCATCATCTCTTCTTTGTCATTATCAATGCTGTCTGATGCATCACTCTGAGCAAACTCATATTTCTTTATGTGCCTACCCCACGATGGAACATTGGCTTGATGATTTGGTCCAAGCGGAACTTGTCTTCGAGGAGACCGATCCAAAAGCAAAGAATAGGCATCCTCAACAAGAGCAAATGTCCTTCGAGGCAAATCAAAGTCAAAATATTCTGGAGAAACAGGTAAAATAGCTGCTGCCCCAGTACCTGTATCTTCCTCACTAGAAGGGCTTGTGACCAAAGACAAGGGAGCACTAGTCTCAAAATCCTTGTCAACCAAATCTGTGACATCATTAAGAGCATCAGTTTCAAATGCTTCATCCCGTTGGTATTTACGAAATCCATCCTCAACTTCTACTGCATCACATAGGAAGATCACACAATATTAAAATCATGCAGCAGAATATGAATCATTCACAAAAAAAAATGCAAAAAAAATATATTACCTGAAATATGAGGTTTCTGAGGAGTACTACTACGAGGAAAAGTATCAGCAAACTGAGTCAGCTTATTGCTATAGTCAAACTGTCTCGGATTCTTGAAAGGAAGTCCCTGCAACTCCTCATCATCAAACGGACGCTTAAATCCCATTTACAACCTGTGGAACGAGCAATTAATTATGAAGAGAAGCTACTCAACAGCTTAGTGGGTAATGCACAGTGGCACCTAGTACGACATACTATACATGCAATAGCAGAATCCCCACCCCACCCAAAAAAAAAAGAGCACTTTAGAGATTAGGCTATACGCCAAAGCGCACTTAACACAAGCAATAAACATAACAATTAGCCTCAAATTCATTTAGACTAAAAATGTAGAAATGTAACAGTGCTTGCGAGCACCATTCCATTAAACAAGATGTTCAGTTTAATATAGTGGCTTCAAACAAAAATAGTTTGCTAAGATTAAAAAGTCATTGACAATAAACATCAAAATTAATTATAATGCACACGCATTTTACTATGCAGGAAAAATTACTAAAAAGAAAGGTATTATGCCCTTTACAGTTAACTAATTTCACTTTCCATGGTGAGCTAACGAGGTTCATAAATCAACAATTATGATTGATAGAAGCAAGAATTAGTGTATTAACCGCTTAACTATGACAAGAATAATAAATTTAAATTAGAGAGAGGCAATTACCTCTAAATTGGGTTGAATTGAAACTTTTAACTACCGAAAACGAGCTGAAAGAACCGGGGACAAATTAA